AATTAATTATCGAGTCAGGAATTATCAGAATCAGAAGCAAAACATATACATTGACATAGCGATTCGACGCCTTGCCATTTCGACAAGGCAGAGTGCCAACGCCTTGCCATTTCGACAAGGCAGAGTGCCAGCCAGTGCTGGATCCGCTTTCCACAAGGCAGAGTGCCAGTGCTCTGTCAATTTGTCAGCATGACCAAGCCTGTTCACGAAAGTGAGCTTGGCCGGGCTTTTTGGAACAATGTGCGGGTGGAAAACATCCGCTGTCAGTTGTTTGAAACCTCGAATGGCGAGGGACCTCCGGAGGGAGCTCTGCAAATGGGCCCATACCACAGACCTAATAACCCTCTTGAGAGCTCCATGACGAGAACAGGTCGGGTCTGCCTGCAATTCCATGTCAAGGGGTCACCGGAGAGCAGTGTCTTGCAGCTCAAAGTGGGTTGGACATATGTTCAGCACGGACAGAATCGTGACTCCATGCTGGGGAAAATCATGGAACCGGAAGTTGTCAAGATTCTGGCGCTCTTGAAGCAACTCAGGATTCCATCGAGTGAAAGGCAGAGTGCCGAGAAGCTGCAATGTNNAACTGGCCCGATGGAAACAAGAGCGACGCCGCTTTTTTGAAAGGGAGACGGTGGAACAAGTACTGGCGGACTTTTCCACAATTCCTGGCTTTCGATGAGTTTGCATTGATGACCCACCACAAAAGCAGTTTAAACAAATTCCCTGTGACCCGACGTTCGGTGTTGGTGACGGAGGCCAAAGGGGACGGGACTGTTTTGGGCAAGTTCATTTCAGACCGCCTGGCCAACCAGAGCCGGTTGTACAATGAGAAAGAGACCATGCAATTGGTCTTCAAGGCCTTCAAGTTCATCCTTCAGGTACAAATGCACCACCTGGAACAGGAAGGTGCTTTTCTGGCCGATCTCCACGAGAACAACATCACCGTCATGTCAGATGGGAATGGGGGCCCTTTAGACGTGCAGTTTGCCTTCGTGGATGCTTCGGGGCTCCTGACAGTCAAAGGGCCTAAGCGTGCG